AGGGTTGCCATGGATATTTTGCTGGACGACGAGGACGGCCTCGGGGGCCAGAATTTAGTGTGGACTGCTGACGAGAATGACGATGACAATGTGTGGGCAAGTGTCATGGAGGTGCCCGGGCAGAAGAAGGAGTCAGTCCTTTTTCTAGACGAAGACACATCATACGTCTACAGGGCTAAAACAAAAAAGTGGGAGTACAACAGGAGGTACTTGAAGTGCCGCAAGAGGCACTGCTACGCCAAAGCAGTCTTAAAGCGAGCAAATGGGTTGCAGTATATTTGCCAAACAAGTTCTCACCATCACCTTCCTGAAAAATCATTTCTTGAGGCAAATCAGTTCCGGCAGATATTGTACAAGAGGGCCAGAAATGAGTGTACAGCACTTTCTGAAATCCACCGACAGGAGTTGGCCAAGTAAGATCCTAAAGTTTAACAGTTAATTTGTTTCACCAGTATGCCAACTCTGCCCCGTGGGGTCATCCACATATTACGTCACGTGCCTGGGGGAAGGGGGGTGGGGTCTGGCTAGCGTGACGGTCCGTGCCGTAGGGGTGAGGGGGGGGGGCATGGACGACGTTACGTCACACTTTTCACGAAATCATTTAAACGGCATAATCGACCCAAGGGCCCAATTTTTGGCCTCTAATCTGGAATTTTCTTCTGTACAGAAATAATTTATGTCAGAGCCGTTACGATTGGTTACGATTCATATAAATATACATGTGTTTTTCGAAAATTTTGAAAATGTGACGTTACAAGGGGGGACCGTCGTCTTTTGTGACAGTGCGTGACATGGGGGCAGGGAGAGAGAGAGGGGGGGGGGCAAAAAGTGCCGAAATCGCGTGACGTAATATGTGGATGACCCCTAAGATAAAAAAAGTAGACTAACACGCCAAAAGGGGTGCTATAGTTTTGCACATATGAGGCAGAGGGGCAGTTACATACTTCAGCTGACAGTGCACTTGTACCATCTATGCAAGAGGGTACTGAAACTGACGACATTGCTTTTCTTTCACAGGATTGAAGATGAGCATGTGATTGCCAAAATGACCTACGCCAGACTGCAATCATCAATGCAAAGGCAGCGGAATGTCGTCTACCCTCCCTTGCCTAAAACATTAGCTGAATTTTGTCTTAGCCTAGATGAGCCCCAATATGCGGAGAGGTTTGGAAAGACAAGGGATGGCAAGAGATACTTCCGCACGTGGAGAACTGGAAGTGCATTAGAAGGAACAGTTGCTATTTTTGTAAGCGAGCACTTTGAACCAATGCTATCTACAAGTCATTGCTTTCAAATTGACGGGCATTTTAAAATGAGCCCCAACATTAGTGATGTTTACCAGCAAGTAACAATTATGCCAGTTTCATACGACCATGTAAGTTATTTTAGCAGATAATACCCAGTTATTGCCACCTTGTACTCTCGTAAAGTTAGTAAAAGCAGCAGAAACGCGCAAGCAGTAGTCCAATCTATTTAGGTAGTGGGCTCTCGCGCGTGCCGACCGGCGCTGTAGTGCTGTTCAGACCGACAGCATCGTAGCGCTATGAGCGACGCTACGCAGATGCCGCTGCCACAGCCCTAAGCTTCGGTCATACGCTCGTAAAACGCCCGCTGAGCCCCGCATCGCCCCGCCCCGCCCCACCCCACTCCGCCGCGCCCCGCCGCGCGCCACCGCGACCCACCACGACCGGCCACGACATATGCCGCGTTCAAAGCCGCGTTCAAAGCCGCGTTCAATGCCACCCCAACCCGCCCCCGCGGTCTTCGGCCGCCACCCGCCGCGCTGCGCCGCGCCCTTCCCCGCCGCGCCCTTCCCCGCCGCGCCCTTCCCCGCCGCGCCCTTCCCCGCCGCGCCCCGCCACGATAACAAATATACCGGCTAGGTGAACCATGTCCTTTTTTCTGCTTATATTGTGCCAGTTGCTTTGCGTACAGACTGGTTGCATACTCGCATTTGGACCTTAGGCACCATGGCGAGCAGCGAGATAGTCTAGCCCGCACGCCAGAATCCGCTCCACTATAAGCAACCAAAAAAGTCGGACCGGGAGTAAAAGTGTGAAATTTACACTCGTGCCTCGTGCCTCTATGTGTACGACTGTTCACGCAGTGACAAGTGTACGACATTTGCATACTTAGGTTTCCGGTGTAGACAGTTGCAAGTGTGTACACTGATCTCTACACTTATTAAGACGTTTTGATTGTTGCACACGTAGTTCATGAGGGTAAAAATAATATAGTGATAGTTTCTTTTGTAATGTCACAGGTATTTCCAGCTGTGACCATACTCATGACCAGAAAAACGAAGGCTGCTTACAAAATGGCATTCCAGTGCTTGAAAGAGGAAGTTCCAACAATTAATATGCCACATATTATGAGCGACTTTGAAAAGGGTCTCCTTGGAGCTCTTCGGGAAGAATTCCCAGCTGCACATTTGACAGGCTGTCTATTTCATCTGGATCAGGTAAGTCCCACCCGTGCCGAGTTGGCCGGGGAGTCAGACATTACAAAACTGGCACCGGGGAGAGGGGTACAGGCGTGTTACGCCTTTACGTTGCTAGGAACCAGTTTTTGTCTAAACGCAAAGAGTATTACTGATCAAAGTGTATTTTCCCTGCGTTACAGGCCATGTGCAAGAAAGCATCAAAAATCGGCTTGAGGCCTCTTTTGAATGAAGATGATCCTGCTGGAAAAGCTCGTGGAAAAGTAGTTAGAATGTGCATGGCACTGCCTTTTCTACCTGCCGAAAAAATTGACGAGGGTTTCAGAGCAGTCAGAGATCACTCAAGAATCCAGAACTACAACGAGTTGGAACCATTTTTAGACTATGTGGAAAGGACTTGGTTGCAAGGTAAAACTATCCAAGAGAAATTATATTATTTGCACTGATAAACTAAGTGTGAAACTGCTTAACACTTGTAAGTATTCCACTTGCAGTTGCACACATAAAAGTGTAAAGCAGTAGCACTCTCAGTTCATCAGTGTAAACTAGGAAATTGCCAGATAAGCGTCGTAAATTTATGCACTCTTCTTCCGGAACGTGTCGAGAAAAGTGGTAATCTACTCTGTCAATTCAAATGCGTACACTGTATACTTTAAATAAAGCGTACGTAGTATGTATACACTTCTAAAAGCGGGCATGGCCATGTACGTATTTAGAAAAGCGTATATAGCATGTGCACATT